CAGCTTGGGCCACATCACTGTACAAACTTCACTATGACTTACAGAGACAAATTGGTTTCTCATCAGTATTCCTTTCTGAAGACATCTTGTGCATACTACACCCTGCTCCAGAGGGGAGTGGATATTTCTGATGATAAACTGATTACTCTGAAAGCCTTCCATCTTCCCCTGTCCCCATGTGTTTGTGTGTATGACAACCCCCCCCCCCCCCCTTTTTTTTCCATTTTTATCAATCATTTAAATATATGTATTTTTTTTTTTTTGCTACAGGACCCATGATAGTTCCTGGTAGGGCTTGTTTGTGCCTGAAGTGAAGAGGACACAGAGAAAGATGCTGATCTGCACTTCGGCATGGGAGGATTTTTTTTTTTTTTTTTAATTTGTCCACTGTCCATCTGCCTCAGTCACCTAATGCTACGACTCCATTATTATTTATTTAACTTTTATTTGGTGGCTGTTTTGGATTCCCCATCCTATAAAGATGTGATTATCCTGGCTGATTTAAAAAAAAAAAAAAAAACAATCAAGCTCCTACAGTACTTTTTTTTCACTTTGCTAATGAACCTGAGCACTGGAAATGCAGTGTGTGTGTTTTTTTTTTTGAGTGTGTGTGTTTGAGAGCAGAACTAAACAATAATGCATATGGATTATAGGCCTTTTGGTCGTCATTTCAATTCATGGCTATTTATCACACATTTTCTCCCAGAGAATCAGTGTATCATTCCTGATTAGGCTGATGTTTCTGATCCTCGGGCTTCGTAGCATTTGTGTGATGGCACTGATTGAGAGTGTGAAACGTTAAATCCTTCTCCCCACGTCTTCCGCCCGGGCTGCCCATTACTATCCCAATCAAATAATCTTGCCTTCAGAAACTGCAACTCCAACACTGAAGAAATGCTCAACAAACAAAGAAATACTGTATACTGAATGACAACTGGTCAAACTGTGGGCTGTTGTGTTGACTCTTTTGAATATACATGTTCTCACATCTTCACTGTGGAATAATTTCAAATGAATCACAAAAGCAACCCCCCCCCCCCTTCCTTTTAGCAAACACAAAGCAGGATATGACATCAATGAACTCTGCACCTAATGAGCATATGAATCAATCAATAGGAGGAAAGGAACAGTACAAGTATACTTTCATGAGCATCTGAATGATAAAATGTATAGAATATGTTTTTTTTTTCACACAATCAAAATGAGCAATGCATACCTTTGACTCTTTTATCTCATAATGCCCTAGTTCTAGAACATGTTCTGACACTCTCTGAAATCACAGTATTTTTCAAGACAAAATCATATCTACAATAATCAGCACTTGTTTTTAACCTTAATCAAAAAGATCCCCCCCGCCCCTTCCCAAGGATGTGTTTCTAAAAATAACATGAGAAGAGAAAGGAACACAAGTTTGCGTTGACTCTGGGCGGGAATTCGGCGGTCAAACATCCCATTCACGCGGCCATCTAATGGAGAGCCATTAGGCCAGAGCTGATGTCTGATTAAGAGAACGATATCACTTCAAAAAACCCAAGGAACAACACATAATCCAAACAAGGTTGCTGTACATAGTAGAACCGGAGATTTCCGTGCATGTTATCCATGGGCAATGGGGTGGGAGGGGTTGTGGGGGCGTAGGTCGGGTAAGGGCGGCGGGGGTGGGGGGGTGTCAAGGATCTCACTCAGCTGATGCCTGAACAGACAAGCCACCACTGATTTCATGAGCTGCAGTAGAGGATTTTTGATCACAATAAGTATCAATAAAAAGTCAATGGGACTCTGAGACAACTTTTCTCTCTCAAGAGCTTTCACTTTCTCTTTTTTCTTGGTATTTTTTTTAGCAAAAATATCATGCAGTCTTTAGTTCCAAAAACCCCTGGTGGGATCTCGTGTTTGTTTGTTTGTTTGTTTGTTTGTTTGTTTCTTTCTTTCTTTCTTTCAGGAGGAAAAAGAAACTCAAAGCCATGAAATTCTTCTTTCACAATTATTCTTAAACATTCAAGTCATCCTATTAATACTTTGTACAGCAGAAAGGTCCTTCAGATTTCACATGTGTATATATAAATATAATATATAGAAATATGCATATACATATGTTCAACTTGTATATGTGTATACATATTTTGGAACTGTATCAAAGCCAATTTAATGTGCTCTCAAAATATGGCCCATGATTCCTAGTGGGATGCACATCAATTCACATAGTACAACCAGTAGATTAGGTTGAAAAATCCAAAGGTGATAGGGAAAATGACCCGGGACCACTTGTCAATGGTGCTAACATCTGACAGGTTTGGGATTTTCAACTTGAGCTTGGAGGAGCGTCGCCGTAGCCGACAGTTGGCCCGGCTCCGCATGGCGCTCCGGTCCAGCGAGTGGTGGCTGAAGCCATCTCGGGGCGCCATGGGCTTCCTGAATTGGACCCCGGAGCTGTCGAAGGACATGACTGAATTCCGAGAGTCACTGACGCTACTTCCCACGTCAGAAGGCATCACTTCGTTGTTCATCTCCAGCGTGGTGAGGAGGATGTTTCCATAAGCATCCACCTGCGAGAAGAGGGGGAAAACAAGCGGGAGTCAGCGAGGGCTGAAATGTCGAGCAGTAGCCCCAAATTCCCTCAATAATGAAAACTTATATTAACCCCCCTCCCATCCCCCAAGCTGTCAAGCTAAAGCAAAATGTAGGGATGATATGGAACCTCATTTCTTGCATGCAACAGAAATAGTTAACAAAGAGTTTCTTTATACAGATATCTATAAGTGGTTTTCACTTGCAAAAAAGTGATAAAAGTCATTTGAACAACCTTAATCAACTGACTTTATTGTGAAGTCTGGCCTTTAGCTGATATGATTTCTAAATACATGTACCCCAACTTTTCTTTGTTCCTCGAGATACAGATTTCTTCGCTGTGTAAATGACCTGAAGGTGTTGGTTTGAAACGGCACGGAAATGGAGTCCTTGCAATGTGAAAGAAAAATGAAAAGAACATTAAAACGGCTATAAAATTCTGGCAAATAAGCACATTTTCTCAAAATTACACAATGCATAAGACATAGAGTTAACAGGAACAACTTTGAATAAGCATTTAGTACTTCACACACAAAAAACAGTGGGGGGAGGCTTCATTCCTTCTGACCACTTCAGAATCTGCCATTGATAAATTTTCCAAGGCTTTCTCATTCTGCTTTTTGACATTTTGTCCACTTTAGTTGGAAAATACATGTTAAAATACAAGGTAGAACTGAGACTGAGAATGAATGAAGCCTACAGCATAAACATAGACAACAACCTAAATAAGAAATGAGAATGTTAACACCACTGTTGAACTAGATGAATCACTATCTCAATGAAAAAGGCTATGCTCGATAAAAAGCAGTCAGTGCTTGAGGGAGAAGCAATGGATGATGGTTGGTGAATGCATATTGGGCTGTGGTGGCATTAGTATGCTTCTGGAGGATTACTTCAGGGAATACTATGTATGTGTCTTTGGATAAAATGACTATGGCTAGAAATCTTATGTGCAGAACATAGTATAGTACTTGAACTCCAACTGACACAGAGACTAAAAGAGAGGTAGCAGATGAAGATGCAAACCTGTTCCCTCAGGCGCTTCTCTTCGTATCTTGTGCGCTCGTTGTTGGCTTTGTTCAGCCTCTCATTGATTTTCTTCTGTTGCGCAGGGCCCCGGCCAAAGAACACGTAATTTACAAAGGCATATTCGAGCAGGGCCAGGAACACAAACACAAAACAGCCCATGAGGTAGACGTCAATGGCTTTCACATACGGAATCTTTGGGAGAGTCTCCCTAAGGTGGGTGTTAATTGTTGTCATGGTAAGCACCGTTGTCACACCTGAGTACAGCAGCACATAAAAAACAAAGAATTCACCGTCAGACACAGAAGTTAGATTTCACTTTAAACATGTATCAATGGTGACCAACGTTAACATAGGTCAGTGAGGGAAGACGTTTTCAGATCAAAAGGTAACAATACTTCACCTGTAAAAAAGAAAACATTTAAAAAAGAAAATGTACTTAATAAGCAAAATAATGGTGTATTATATTCTTATACAACATTATATTTGATTATTAATACTGATGCATTGGCACATTTTAATGTTGTAGCTGGTAAGGTGTGGTGTCTGCCTTGCGGTTTCATCTATTACAGAGAATCCTATTCTGAAAGATTATGTTAGTATGTGGAATCGTAATCTGTATAACTAGTAACTAAAAGTGTCAGATCAATGTAGTGCTGTAAAAAGTACTTTTAGTTGAGTAGAAGTAGAAGTCTCAGAGTCTCTTAGTTATAGCTAGCCACTGAGATCCTAAATGAGGTCACTGCCTAAGATTGCCCACATGTGACATATAAACCTAATTGATAATTATTAAATGTCATGAACATCGCATAAACAGTGACTGTCACCGAGTCCTGTTGGATGTTGTGACACTGTGTGTACTACTTTAAGGTAACTGGGGCACATTTATCATATTATGAGTAAGCATGTCTCTCAGGCTTACTCATTGGATGTAATAAGTACTACTCATCACTCCATATTTTAAACATGTACATCAGTGTTTCTACTTTTAGTGTTTACACAGCACTAGCTGACCTGTGTGAACATCAAATGGAAGCAACAGAAATTCAGCAATATGACTGAATAGAAAGAACTGATGTAGCTTGTGGGTGTGTGATTGTTGCATTTGGTTGATAATGAAACACTGATATACCCTTTCTACTGAATCAAAATAAAGTTGATAATTAATAGTCACTGTTAGTTCCTGTGATAATCACTGGATTTTGATGGAGACAGGTACAAGTTTAATAATGCAGCGGTGGCTGTGTCTTACCCAGGGCCACCCGAGCTGCAGAGGCGTCGTAATTGATCCAGAAGGAGACCCAGGAGAGGATGGTGATCAAGATGGAGGGCATATATGTCTGCAGGATGAAGTATCCAATGTTCCTCTTAATCCTGAAACTCAGCGAAAGCCTTGGATATGAACCTGTAAGGAGAAAGGATGGAGTGATAGTTTGGAAGAGAGTAGGGCGGAGTGAAAACACATCAGTGAAAAAAAGGAGAGAAGGGGGAAAACGTTGGCACAACTTAAGAGTTCCAAAGTCTGCACTTTGACAACGCGCAGGGTAGTCATTTCTCCATTTGTTCAGATGGAGCACTTAATTTCCCCAAAGCGATGGATTCCTTTCCAGGGACAAGTTCGATTCCAATTAAACATGGCAGAAAGTCGCAAACACGGCAGATTTTTCTGCAACCCCCTATCTCAGCAGGCAGCTCCAGCATCCCTCTGAGAATTGTCACAGAGAGCTGCTCTGCTTTTCCTTCGCACTTTCCTCTAAACATTACCAAAAGGGCATTTTAGAGGTGCATAATTGCAACGCATGCCTTTACACTGAAAGAGGAAGAAACATATACAGTATGTGGCTGCAAGGTGGTAAGTCATTCCATTGCACATTTTGCAGGAAAATATCAGCTGGTTGTGCCAAGACATTAATTGGTCCTTTGACTGCACTTTAATTTAAACAACCACAACAATACAATGCTGATGCAAAAAGCAATATAAACATCAAGGTAGAACCTCTTTGCTTCAGCTATAGCTTGATATTTACGAGGTTGGAAACAATACAAATACCTCTAAACATAGTTAAATTCCATTCTGTGTATTCTACCTACAGTTTTATTTCCAATATGTCACCAAAGAAAAAAGGCTCCAGATAAGCGTGATGGTTTTAATCTAAAAGCCTATTTGCTATGGGGAACACACCATGATGAATGACCTCATCATCACCAGGTTCCTCTAAATCTTTTAATGAATCAATACCTTAGCATACATTCTTCATCAAGTCTGAGACAAATGCCTTAGATCACCCAAGTACATCCTAGATTAATGGTGGCAACAAATGTTCACAGATTTCATTAAACTCAAACATGAGAATCACACTTAAATTTTTCTTTTGTCTTAGAATAGTGAGGGTGCTTATGGGGTAGGTAGGGTCACTTGTCTAAAGTCTGTGTGCCATCTCTATACAGTATGTCAGAGTTTGAAACATAGAACGTAAACCATACCACTAATCACCACACTCTAACACAGAGGTGCTTAAATGGTTTAGCTTGAGGGCAAAAACTGAAAATTAATGGGGGGGTCATGGGCAAAAAGCAAATACAAAAATGCTACTACGATCCCAGGTTTCTTTAGTTTACTGTGCTCAGATTATAAACAATGATTAATAATTAGGGATCCTACATTTTTACCTCAAAAAAACAAGCTGTGATTTAGAATATGATTTTCTTATAATATAACATCTTGTGGGCAAAATTGAACTTCATGGCGGGCCACCTTTGGCCCCCATGCCCTTTTTGGGCAGCCCTACTCTAACACATACAAGTACTGTATCTGTGGCACTGTTTTGTTAAACTGTACTGTAGTTTAAATCCACATAATTGTATGGACCATTTTGGGGAGTGATCCATATCACTTTCAATATGTCTCAGTCAGCAGTGGAAGAAATAATCTGATCATTTACTTAACAGAATAGATTGACATTTTGGAAATAGGCCAAAAGAAAAATGAGAAGATCAATACCCCTCTCATGTCTGTGCAAGAAATATGTAGCTTCAGGCAGTTAGCTTAGCTTAGCATAAAGACTAGAAACAGGGGCAAACAGTTAGCCTGGCTTTCTCCAAAGGTAAAAAAAACACCAACCACCAGCGCCTCTCAAGCTCACTAATCAACATGTTGGGCTATATCTCGTCTCTGGAGTCTGAGCTGGTTGCCTTGCAACCTCATGTGACGACAGGGCTACAGGAAGTCACTGTGCCAAAAAATAGACACTGCTACCTCACTACAAATTGTCATTTTTACACTTCATACACACAAGACAACATGTTGATTAGTGAGATTTAGAGGTGTTGGTAGCCATTTTTTTTAACCTTTGGACAGAGCCAGGCTAGCAGCTCTTTATGCTAAGCTAAGTTAACTGTCTGCTGGCTGTAGCTTCATATTTAGCATACAGATATTAGCTTGGTATTGATCTTCTCCTCTAACTCTAAGCAAGAAAGCATTAACGGATTTCCCAAAATATCAAATTACTATGTAAAACCTGTAGAAAAAACTTTAGTTTCAGAGCATAGTTTTATTGAATCATTAGCCTGTAAGCAGCATTAGCCTGTAAGCAGCATTTAAGCAGTATATGTTTAAAGCTGTTTCAGGTAGTGCTATGTCGGACCAATATTCTACTGCAGTACCTTTTAAAGCAACATAAATGTATTCCTATCCTTATTATTAATAATAATAATATTGTTATTAGTTACTTTGTATACTTTTTGGTGGTTTAATCATAAACTGCATCATAGGACCAGAATGTTTCAAATATTTAGTAAAACTGTAAGTGAGGGAATACAAAAGACAATGTCCAAATGAAATGTAATAAAGTAGAAGTAGAAAGTTTCACAAAATAGAAATATTCAGTAAAGCACCACATACTTGTATTCAAGTACCAATAATTCCTGTACATTTATTTGATTTTAATTTACATAGTTCTGATTCAGGAACACTGATGATGAAATATGTCAGAAAACAATTAGTGCAGTTATCCTGAGTCAACATTTGGAACTTCACAAATATGTGGAAATGACCACCTACAGTCTGAAAAAGGAAAATTGTCTTTTAGCAGCACGACCCAAATATAATCATATTCCCCACAGTGACAATGGCATATTTACTGATGCCCCCACTCACAAAACTCACAGTGGTGACGTGGATGCAGAAGTGTTTATACAGGATGTAAGAATCACTTTGTGTATGTAATGGATGCTTTTAGCCTCATTAGGCCTGAAGCGGCTTTTACAGCAGCCTTACCTGTAGTAAACCTGACCTCCCTGGACACCAAGCGGATGTCTACAATGGAAAACTGAGGTAACTCTAATTTGTCAACGCCCGTCACAGCGTTGTTTCCTCCTTGCCAGAAGAATACGATGTCATCTGTGGTATATCCATCTGTATCAAGGTAAGGGCAAAATCAGGGGAGAAAAGATAGAGGAAAATTAAAGTTAACCATGTTTCTATTTACAGTCTGTTCAAAGAGTATGGATAATGAGTGGAGGTCGCTTTGACAAATCAAACACTTGTTTCGATCTACTCTATGTTGCAATAAAGTCTTTCAGAGCTCAGCAACCTAAAAATAATGGATCTTTTGCAATTCTTATTTCCTTAAGAACACAAATTATTATTTATCAATTTCTTATAACTGACCACAGTTTTTTTTATGAGCCTCTAACAAACTGTAGAGATTACCATTAACAGTAAAAGTGCACTTTTAACAAACTGCACGATTCTTTTCTCAAAGTGAAAAAATATGTGTTTTAGTCATGCATTTTTAGTGGATGAGAAATACAACATTTTACATAACACAAACATGAACCATGTGTGGTGAGCCAACAGCACAATAGCTTTTTGGGGAATTGTTTCCTTTTTTTGTGATTTTCTATTAAGTAATTTCAACAAATAAAACAATGAAATAACGTAATCACACATTTTGGGTGGTATTATTTTACATAATTCTATTCAATAAGACTAGATCCAACCCATATGGGACTTTTGATACCAATTTTAGATGGGAAAAATGTACCTATTACTCTTATGGCAGCTGATATAGTGAATTTCAGAGCTTGAATGAAAATAGACCTTTTCTATGTGGACTGTGCGCCGATTTTGCATCAATATGACAATGCAAAGGTATTTAGAAGGCTGCTTTCTTAAACAAACTTTATTAAAGAATTGAAATAATAAATAATTTAACATAGCCTATAAGTTATCAACCAATTCTAGTTGACATTGCAAAGAGCTGCTTCTTCTCTCTTACTATTTGCCGCTTGTCACAGTATTGTAAATCACACTGCACTCTGCTGGATAAAACATTGCAGTGAAATCAATATATTATCACAACCAATTTTTAAGCATTATATACTGGGAAAAACTGCTGTCTTAATGAATAACATGTACAGATGTGAAACTGATATGTCTGCGATATGCCAATATCGTCTGATGATATCCGTCAACTGATTACCGGTCAGGCTCTAGAAGCCCTCTGAAACTAAATTAATTAAATTGTCTTTTGGCAGAGTTATGTCTGATACAGTTTTACATACACTTAAACATAGGCAGAACAAAAACAGACATTCTGAACTACATAAAGAAATAGACTATTTGCCATAACTTTAATTTTATCCACAATTTATCAAACTCATGCTTGTATTTTTCAAGTAAAAGTTGCATTAGGGATTGTAGTCAGACTGTGGGAGGAGAAGGGGATTTAGGGAGTTTTTTTTTTCTTTTCCCAAGAGGACCATGCAGCACCAAAGACAGCACGGAAACAAAAACCCTTCCTGCCTAAGCCTTAAATCTGTCTGTTCTCTCGACCTGCAATCACATGCGCCACTGTCCAGACTCCTATGGAGCTATATCACTGCATGCATTACTACCTGCATGAATATTTATTAACATGTGTCACTTGGTATAGCGCTCCCACACATTCCCAACTGGCAGTGCAATTGAAAGTGACCACAGCAGTAGATTTATGTCAATAGGCCAGTATGCATCCACTGCAGAGCAATTTCTCAGTCCGGGAAGTGTTACTGCATTTCACATTCTACTACCTCACATCCAGACCTGGATGGCATTAAACTCACTAAGGGACCAGGATTCATTACCATTAAATCTCTCTCTGAGGTTATAGGGTAAGGAAATGTGACATTGTCCATGAAATTGAAACAACTGCCTGCCTAATCAATCAAACTGATGGTTAATGTGCATGACTCCCACTAGTGCAGAGCATTCCATGCATAAACAGCAGAATTTCTTTTAATTCATGGCATATCCATATTTCATTGCCTGCTGATGTCCCTGAGGGTAAACACTCTGCACTTTTATCTCGAACAACAAGAACCATAGATATCAAGTGGGTTGATTGATGGAGGGGTCGATGAAAATGATCAAGTAAATACAATTTTTAATTACAGCACTAGCACATTTTTTCTCATGGATATTGATTTATCTAAATTAAAGCATTAAAAAAAGACAGACATGAAACAACGTCAATGGTATTTTTGTCTTATTTTCTCTGATATGTATATACACACACCTGTTCAAGGATGACTTCACAGATACACACACGCAGATGAAAATATTCCTTTTAAGAGTCAAGCTACCAGTTCACAAGCATGTTCCACGTCTCATTTCATCCCATTCTGATTTTAAAGGGTAACTACAGTAATTTTATGTTTAACGACCAGTTTACTAGTCATGGGGAGAACTACCCAACCAGTGAAAAGATGACTCCTGTGGCTCTGGGGCTGAGTCTGAGAAAGTTACCCTGATGATGTCATCAGGGTTACTGATGAACCATACTTCACTTTAAAAAGTTACCTCTTTTATCAAAGTTATCTCGACATTAGCTTGGAAACTTCAGGTTAATAACAGACACATTACAAACTGAAGGTGTGGAGTAGAAAACGTGGAAAAGAAATGTGGCATTTACTGGGCAGGGAGGGTCTCACAAAAAAAAATCTTATTTTCAGGTGATTATACAATAATAAAAAAATACATATCAATATTATATTCATTTTGGTCAATAGATCCTCTTAAATATTACACACTGGACTAGGGCTGCACAATTGATAAATATAATATTGAAATCACAATATGGCCATATGCAAAATGCAAATCGGAGAAGCTGCAATATTTATGATTACAGTAAAATCTGTGACAAAACAGCATTATAATAAAGTACTATAGTGCTGAAGAGATGCCCTGGACTACAAATCTTGTTCCCTATATTTAAAAGAGCATGTTTGTTCAATGTTAAATTCATCGTGAATTTAATAGTTTTTTCAACGAAAATTAAATTTGTGATTAATAAAAAAAAATTCCCACACTAATCGTGAATCATATAGTAATGGCCATATCTGTCAAAATAATCTTAATGTAATGTTTTTACCATATTATGCAGCCCTAGGCCCTTACCCAATCAGAAGTATGTCCTCTCTCATGTTATACTGTAAGTTTTGAAGCCAAGGTTCATACTTAGAAAAGGTCAAGCCAAACTCAAATTAAAACACCATGTTATCATGTTTCTTTAATCCGGACTACTTTTCGTCCCCCAAACTGAACTATTCCTTTTATAACAATGGTAGCTAATGGAAAGTTACTGTACTTGAGAACAAGCTGTTGGATAGCAGCTTATTGAACCAAATATCTATCTACATACTGACCACTTCCTTAATAAATCATTCCTGATGAACTCTAAATCAGGTGCTAAATGGCATTTCACCAATAAATAATTATTAGTTCTTTCTTGCTTACATATTAGTTAGTAACTGTGTGTACAAATGATTAATTAATGACTTAATTTTGCCCTCAACATTCAGAGATCCAGTGGTGGCCCTGTCGATCTGTTACACTGAGGGATTAGTAATCAATGCACATCACCAAGCACTGTGATTTCTTCTCTATTTCTCAAAGCAGCCATCAACTGCAGAGGTCTGACGAATGGCACACATTGGTAAAGACGGCAAATATTTCACTAATGAGTTCTCTAAATTAAATGTATTTACCAAAAAACCTCACTTAATTACATGTGAAGTAACATGCAATGATTTTCAGATAGTGATTACTCGGTACAAACAGCTTTCTGGCAGTCATGCTAATTGCTGTTGAAGGAAGTTCAGTACAAAGGTCTTTGTTGTGAGACACAAAAAATGCAGGTTGTTATGCATCACTCACAGCTTTCAATTTCCAGGGTGCAGTTTTGTTCATCCAGAGGGTACCTCCTCAAGTCCATCATGCAAGCAGCAGTGGTGGTTATTCTAAGAAAAAAAGACAGAAGCAGAACAGGGACTTAGGGGATGTCGTAAAGACATGGATCGACAAAAACACAAAACATTTTATGTCATTTCTTTCCTAAAAGTGAAGGAAAAGGCTAAGAGAGAGGTCACGGTGTGTGACAGATGAGCCTTGACATGTTGCACAATATAATGAACCACCAGTGTGTCCACCACTTAACTCAAGCTGCACTTTGAAAGTCATTATTTTGTGGTTGTTTATTGAAAGCATAAAAGCGCTGCAGCAGTTTCATAATCCATAGCTGGCTTTTAGGCGTGTCATTTTGCAAATACTAATGTATCTTAGTGTGTTTGAATGTATGTGTAACTGTGTAGCACATTCATGTTCCTTAGCCTCTTAAACCTTTCAAGGTTCATGGGAGCTGGAGACTTCTTATGTAGCTCTCTTATGTTAAGAGGCTTTTTGGGGGGAAATTTGACTTTTTTCTTTCTTGATATGATTTATTCTTTATGTTTCTGTGAGTAGTCTGGAGAAGTATTTCCTTTTATGTGGTTACTGCTCAGCACTGCGATTTTGTCAACGTTAGATATTTATTGGTAGTTCCGAGATGTGCATTTCTGCCAGGTAGCTTTAGAAAAGATGTATGCATAGCAGTTTATTAACGTCAATAAATCCAGTAGCCCAGAAAAAACAGCTTTGGCTACATATTACACATGTAGGGGTCTTTGGCATTTAACTGAGATATTTACCGGTGCAGCACATTTTAGTAATTACATTTCTGCTGTTCATACCAGCTGCTATGTGTTCATCATACCAGCTTTCATTCGCTTACTGCCCTCCTGTGTACATGAAATAGAAAAATTTATTTTCAGCTCATCATCTCTGTGTCGGAAGCCACCAGCATGTTCACAGAGGAAGTTTGATATGCACAGTGCATGACTTTGTGTGTATATTAGAGCATGATGAGAGTCATATCCAGTTTTGCCCTTTAAAGGACGTTTCACTTTTTGGATACATTTTTAATCATGTTTAAGTCAAAGCCACCAAGGCTGCTACAGTCTGTGGTTTCACACTGATGCAGCAAACAAATGTACACCACCATCTACAGTACCTAGAATTAGTAATACAGTAGATAATAAGCTGTTTGCATTGGAAATATATTGCCGGAACACAGAGTTTGTAAATTGGTCATGGTGGGGTGAACAGAGTGCTGTCGGCAGGTAATTGGAAAACAAAATATGTTCTGCTCAAGCTGATTGGGCCAGATTAACACATGTGGGGCCCCTGGGTCCCTGATAGCAGAAGGAACCAGGAGGGTAAAGAAAATAATACATAAACAAGTGACAGGTATATATTTATTATTCACAATGACACTGAGCTGCATTCTGCTGCACAAGCATTAAGCTGCTCAAACTGCATTCTGTTCTGCTCTGCTGTACTGCACCTCCCTGCTGCCTCACAGCGCTCCTCTGCTCTGAGCGTACAGCAGGGCTACCACTGATACACACTGTGAGGAGATAACATCATGCCTAATTACATTAATAGGAAAGGTCGCTTGGCAATCATGATTTTCTAGGCTAAAAGTTTTTTTAAAACCCCGTCTATTCCATAATGTTTAAATAAATGGGTGTGTTTTAGAATTAACAACATGGGTGACATAATGCAGTGCTTCCCAACCTTTTCCTCAAGGAACCCCTTTTCTACCATTGAGTAAACTGACGACCCCTGACTTAGCAACATTTAAGGTTATTTCATATTATATTCAATGAATAACAATTAACACAAATAGTGAAGACAGTAACTGCAGGATGTTTGTGTAAACAAGTGATTTGGGTTCATTTTGAGCAAATAATTTCCTGTGAATATTGCATCAGAGATGAGTTTTCCAGATGTTTCAGGAACTTTAATACAATTCTCTGTATAATGTTTTTTTTAACCATCATACATACTTAAGCTTATAAATATAAACTTAGGCTTATTTGTTTTGACAAATTTAGTGTTTTCTTCTACGTGACGCTTTGCCATTCTTCTATTAGGTCTGTGTTTGTACTTTTTCTAATGCAGGGGCTGTTTAGCAGTGAGTGAAGACTGTGAGGATATAGTGTTCCAATGCTGCATTTATAAAACAGACATAAGATCAATTTTGATAAGTATGAAATACGCAGACAACCATGTAGAAGTAGTTTTTTTTTTTATAAAACCTTAGTTTGACCTTGAAATGATCTTGTCTCTAAGCAAAGTCTAAACATGACTTAAGTGATTTTCCTGCTGGTTATGTAGGAGTATTGCAGTTTGGGATGCATATGCACCCAAGCCTGTGGTGTACTTTGCATCAGCTTTATGAACAATGTGATAGGAATCATGGGTGCCTGGGTATAGTTAAAGTGGGGGTACGAGATTATGGCAGGAACATTTTGATCAAAGTGCTATTTCTTGCAATGTAGAGCCTTCAGTCACGACTAATAAAGCTCAGTTTATTGCACTACTATAAATAAAAAATATTAGTTTTTCATCGTCTTCCGTACTTTCAACAGTGAGTGACAGATAAACACAGACAAAGGCACTTACTGCATAATGCCGTTGCTGAGTACAATTACCTGATAATTAGCCATCGTCAGTATTCAATACACACACATTATTAAACCATTAATCAAACCAATAATTAATAGCCATCAATGTCAGACAACCTTATCATACTTTAGTGTTTCTGTAGTGGTGACAAAAAGTTAAAAAATATTTAATAAAAACAGAGCAGCTTGAGAAGCTCCCTGCTCTCTCAAGGGAAAATATCATTCCATAATATTACTGAACTGTCACAGATATCTTTGGACATTTTACAGACAAGGAGGATGGAATATCTTGCTTGTTTATCTACATCAATAAAATGGCAAAAAAAAAAAAAAAAAAAAAAAAACAATCACAAACAATAAATTAACTTTTACTTGTAATCTCTGTCAGTTAAATCATTTAGGGACTTTTCTGCATATATTGTGGGAATGTGATCCAAAGTGGATCATATTTTCCCCTGCTTCCTGCAAGTAATGTTATCAAATGATGACTGTGACTGAACTCAAACATGTTTCAGAGAAAACGAGGGCCAGTTGGATCCACTGCAGCAAAAAGCAAGCTAAAAACTAGGCAGAAACCTCCGCATTCACTTTCACTCTATCAATAGTGTGATGCATTTAAAGATATATTGATTGTTCTGGACAAATTTCAGAAAAATATTCTGATAATAAAGTTAAATCTAATTAAATCTATCAAATAATTGAGTTATTTGTAGCTAGAATCAATGGGCTCAAACAAAGCGTGCTAAGGACCTGGGAGGGAGTGCTCGAGACAGCAAACCCTTTACTTTCATAACCAATTTGTTATGATCTGTTAGCATTTTACATTTAGCCCCATTTGGGGGTAGTTAGAGGGGTGGTTGAATGTTTGTTTATACAATACAAACTCCAAGCTGAATGAGCTTTAATGTCGATTTATTCTTTTCAGTTGTTTTGAAGTCATCTCTGTATGTTTTCTGTAACACTTCTGATGGTAAAGGTACAAAAACAGACCAAAACTGTTTGAGAAAGTATGTTTTCAGCAGCTTTAAGTCTAATGGCAGTGAGCTATAGAAACTAGGTAATTCCCAAAACATATAACCACAGCCTTATATAGATTAAGCCACCTTGGGCCCCAAAAGTGAAATAGTGGTAAAACCAACACATCACCAAAGTTGCATCTTCCTGCATGCAGTAACAGAAATAGAACAAACTACAATATGGAGAGACCCTACAGTGTGCTGCCTGAAACCTCGAGCTGTAGCAAGGTCCTGAGTCCTGTGTGATCACGAACAGGAAGACACATCCTGTCAAGACACAGCTACTGTTCTTGAAAGACAATGCCCCCAGTAGCACAGTGAAGCAGTGAAACCCTGGCAGCAGCAGCTTGGAGGATTGGACAGAAATTAATTCTTTACCCCCTGGCAGAGGGAGGAAAAAAACCCCCACTACGAATAAAATTGACTGTATATGTGACAGTTAACAAGCGAGGAGAGAATCATACTCAGACTCAATGAGCAGGCACGAGACGGGCGGGTTACAGCGAGGGCCTGGGATTTAGAAATGTCAGCAGATGTAGGTCAGCAACTTAGAGTCCCACCAGAAACGGTCAGCAGCAGACCTTAACAGGCGCAGTCCAACACTCAGCAGTCTGATTACTTCGTTGAGTTCAAGACGATGTGCAATATTAGCCGGTTCATATTTTATTGGTCAGACCACTGTGAGACATTGGCAGATTTTGAGAGTTTGAGTCTTTACTTCCATTACAATGCAAAACTAATAGTTTACCAGTAGGCCTAGCACCCGAGGGAGTAAAAATTCACAATTAAAGGTGCATTCCACTCCTTTTCACAGGCCATTCAGACCATTTATCGTGCCTGCATTACATGACAACTAAAAGCAATCTGGAGGTGGATCCAAGAGGCTCAGCACTACAGACCGGGAGGCTTTCAGATATGTGAGCAATAGTTTTGACTCCTACACAGTCTACTACTGTAGCCTTCTCTGTGAGGTAGCTCGCTCATCGAAAGAAGATCATAGTACTACACCATGGTTTAATAAACAGAGGAACACGAGAGAGCGGATTCACAGGAATGGGAAGAGAGAAAACACCATCTGGCGAAAGCTTAGCTCAACAAAGCCCTCAATGCTCTCAGGACCCAGTGCACTACCAAACTGCATTGTAAGTTTGCTAACGATGAATCAGCCTCTCAACTCACTGGCAAGTTAGACGAACCTGCTCTATCATACACACACTCGGCTGGACACTTTCTACTGACACCGACTCCTTTTATTGATGTTTGGAATGACTTTGTTTGTTTGCAACACCCGAACGCTCTTCTGCACCACTCAGCAGTCTTCAGACCCAGCCCCCTCCTCCCTTCTCTCCACATAAAAATAAAGCACTAGGTTCAAATCTAGCCAGTATATCTCCGGAATGCAAAAATGACAATTTAAGCAAGGTTTTCAAAAACAACATTAATTCTCGAGAGGTGGGTGGGGGCAATTTTCCAGATTTTATTTGAATATTGGATCTGCAGTACACATGCATCATCAGTCCTCCATCTCTTGATCCCCACAATCCCTGGCAACTCCTGGAGAAAGAAATTATGGGCACATTTATGGATAATTAATAGTCTCCAATCCGCCGTATTTAGATGCTATTGGCACTGGCAGTGGTACTCAGATCCTTTACTTAAATGTACCACAAGGAGTTTTAACTGGATATCAAACAGTCTCATGGCCCCTACCTTATATACTATTCAGTAGCTTAGTCCAGTGGTTCCTAACCTGTAGGGTTGGGGATATGATAAGTTTGGGGGTTGTGAGATAATTAGTGACAGTTGAAAAGAAAGAATAACAAAAATAAAGTTCTAGTTTAAAAAAATGTTTTCATTATTTTGACTTTTCTTTCTTTTTCTGTTTTTAAATGAAAAATAATTTTACCACTGTGAAACTGTGATGCTTATATGTATATGTATGTCTTATTAATAACTAGTCAAATAGATGTAGTGATGTAAAAAGTCTAATATTTCCTTCTGAAATGTAGTGGAGTAGAATAAAGTAGTTTTAAAATAGAAGGTAAGTAAAGCCTCTTTCCACCACTGGCCATTGGACTGCAGTAAGAATCATAAAATTCAACACATAACTTCAGGTACTTGTAACTTCAGACAGAACTGGTTACTGTGCTGTCTGCTACCCCAAATCACCATCAGGGCATTAAAATGTGAAAAATTCTGCAAAAAGGAAAGCTATGGCAGTAGTTTATATAATAAACTAAAGTCTATCATTTAACAGCCAAAATCAGATCTGATTTGAATGGTTATTTCTGAGTGATTAAAGCATCTTTTAAATAAACCTGATTGCATACATGTATATTTTAGTGTTTAGAAAAACAAGATAATCCTGGTGCAGTCTAAAAAGTTGATGCAATTGGTTTGGTTTTGCCAGAGAATAGAGACTGCAGGTACAGAGAATGCACCATTAAACACTCAACACGAGATCAGTGGGTAAGCAAATGAGGATAGGGATGGGAAGTAGAAAGAATGTCAGCTTATTCTTAAGATAAATACAAAAATAGAAGTGGTTGATCAACACAAATCAGCCCAGCTCAGATTAAAATCACTGTAAACTCTAGGAATCAAAGTAAATAAAGGCAAAAAAAAGGCAAACACCAGTATCAGCACATTTCACAGTGAATGAATAGGTGAGAGTGCAGCACAAGGTGCAATAGTGTGTGTAATGTCCACAGTTTGCATTTTATTGTGCTGAAGAGTCAGGGGGATAGATTCAAACAGGCGGCCTTTACAATAAAATGCATTTAAGACAACAAAAACCTCAAGCGGTCAAACTTGAGCGGCACAACATTCAAATTAACTGAGAATACAACATCTATTGTTAGAGTCACATCTATTGTTCTGGAAAAGAAATGTCCACACAACCCTTGGGCAAAGTCAAACATTTTAACAAAGAAATTTAATTGAATGCTTACAGGAGGCTTGTAAAGGTCCTGAAATCACCATGGCATGTAGATTATGCACTGATTCTAATTACTGTACACTGCTGAAAAAAACGGTCTGGTCAGATCCAAGGGCTTGACGCCATCTGCCTTTTACCATTACTGCGGTGGATGATGATAACAGTAAAACCCTGTGCAGTATGCTTGGAGATGGAATGTTGGAGGAATGGCTGATTCTAGTGTCCCTAGCAACAGTCGTAGCTTTCTGATTTATGCAGGCACAAAGCCAGTGGAGGTGCAAATGCAGGTGTAATGCCATTTTCTTTTGGCACAAGTCCATTTTACTATGCTTGCGCCTGCTTGGTACTTTAGCGGCTCAGAAGGAACCTGGATGTGCTGAGGTACATTCGTGAGTGGAGCAGCTGGGAATGTTTATTCTGATCAGGTGGCGCAATGTGATTTTAGTACCATTTTGGCTTGAAATTGATCCTGTTTGCAACGACTTTATTTGGAGGAAGCCCGAATATGTAAAGTTTCTTATTTAGTACACATTTAAAGCAATCAAAGTTAAATTTAATTAACTGATTATGCTGAATTAGAATTTCCACAAATTAGTTATTCTTACTAGCAATAGTATCTACAACTGCTTTTAGGACGTTTGAGGTCCTCCTATTTCCGTTCAGTCGATCCTTGTAGCCATTAAACAGCAGCAGAGGGTGATTTGATTGACCTTTATTTAAGCAGGCCCCAACGGTACCTACTGACAAATAATATATTCATCCTGCTCTGGACCCTCCTCAGAGTGGCACCATGCCGCTCCAACATTGCACTCATTCACTGCCAGACCCATGTGCGATCGTCACACAGGGTAAAGAACAAACCAGTAGGCACACATTTGCAGCATGGTCTTCAGCAGCAGTGAGATTGCATTTCTATGTTGATACCTTTTGAAGAGTCATAAAAGTAGCAAAGAAAAGCTTTTGCCATCATATTGTGCCAGCACCAATTCAGTAATTCAGAGTTTCTGAATACTGATTATTGCATTAATAATTTATTACTTCATATGATCTACACCTTGTCACTGCCATTTTCTTTTATTCATGGAACAAAACACAGTCCCCGCTTCTTTGCCTCCATCAAACTACTTTCTTTTAATGACTAGTGTTAAGAAAAGCAGCAATTCAACCTGAGTTTGAACAAACCTCAGGACACCTTCTTACTTTTAGATGTCCCCAAGGGATTTTAGATGGGTCCCTCTGTGCACATTTACTGTTGATTGAATTGTCTAGTTTGTCACAGGGATCTGGGACATTTGGGTGGTGAGCAATTTCAACCTTTTTTTAGCCTTTTCGGGTCAATGAATTTTGGATTTAATGTACCCGTCTCCTTCCAAAATATTGTTATTGTTTTTTTCCTGAGCCACACTCAGAACTTTGTAGACTATTAACTTTATAATTAAAGCTTTAAAGTCTGTTTATCGTTGCCAAAAATAAATCTGTCATAACTTATCCTGCCACAGGACCAAATACTGGCAGCAGTGATCTTATTTTTTTAGGAGCCACATGCTCAATAACATTTCACTTGCTGTATTACTGCCACAAGACAGAGGCAAATAACAAAAATAACAGCTATCTAATTAAAAGTTATCATGTGTAGGTCTTCAGCAGTCTCCCATCCATCAATTAAGTCCCCGTCTTTTCTGATCTAATATCTAATCAAGTGTTTGCTCTTGCTCTAAATTTCTAAATACCGGTGATGCCAGCCATCCATTTTTAGTCTGTGCTTATCCTGTTTAGAGTCACTGAGGGGTAAAGCGTATGTCAGCATGGAGGATTTATTTTTCCTGTATATCCATAATTTTTCTGAGGCTTCTTTCATTATTAAAGGTCCAGTGTGTAACATTTTGGTGAATCTACTGGTTACGTTGAGTTTAGCTGCCAGTTTCTCCTGCATGCTTGGAAGGGGAGTGGCATTTAGGTGGTTGCAATCTGCAACTTCCCTACTAGATCCTACACATTGGTCCTTTAAATCTTTCCAAAAAATTTAAAAAAGTCCTTTCTTTTCTGGGAAACCAGGATGCACCAGGCAAAATGAAGAGAAACACCCTGAACTAGGTTTCTAGTCAATCACTGGGAACAGGCAGACAAACACAGTCACTCAAAAACACCTAGGGGCAATTTAGAGTGTCCAGTTCACCTGACCTGTTTTGTCTCTGGACTGCAAGAGCAAACTGGAGACATATGGACATGAATCAGTTCTGTAAAAATGTGAGATGCGACCGCATGGAACAATAATGAGATAATGAAAATTGTAGTAACTATAGCACAAATGGAGAAGAGTCATAAAGTCAGTGAACCGTAAAAGATACCTAAAATTTGCCAACATTACCTGACATTAACCACCATAAGATACTGGCCATATCAGACCAAATACAGTAGGGCTGTATGAGTATGTTGAAATTAGTTATGGTCCCTTTTATTGCTTATGAACTCATCATTTTAGTTATGAGAGGAACAATGAGCTGTTGCTTTATCCCACATTATTTACAGTTATGCAATTGACACTATCATCTGTTCATCATCTGTGTCTGCCTGTTTTTGTGAAGTAAAAAACAAAATTTTGATCGCCATTTCTATTGTTTTTCCTTTGGGATATCAGTTCAGTTCAGGTTAACCTAGTAAATGCATGTTGAAATGTAGAAAGCGGAACCAAACAGCAAAAAACATACAGTACTGACATATTTAAACACTGAAAGGAGAAATAATGTAAAACACTAGACCAAGCATATAGAGTGTATGAATTCCCACTGTTCTTACCTCAGCCCATATAAGACTGTGCCGTCAGGGTGCAGTCGGATCATACGGTTTTTTACTGTCACACCATGAAGAAAGGACTTCTTGTCATTAAGGAAGTAGGTGTCAGGGAGCCAAAGCTGGTCTGCTACACGGTTGTCCAGAGTCAGGTTTAGGTCCAGCTCACCATAGGCCAAACGCTTATCTCGCCAGCTCTGCTGAAAATACATTGTGATGGTGTAGTCCTGGGGAGAAGGAAAAACTTGCATCAAGTCACAGATAAAAAAACAATTCAGTTGTACATAAGGCTATGAGCTATGGTAACTTTTTGTTTATTTTATTGTTTCCTGTCAGTGCCTGACAATAGTTTCAGCATTAATGGGCATGGTTTATAAAACTGGGAGTATCACATGGACATAGTCGTTATCACAGGCAAAAAAAAAGCAGTCTTAAAATTCACAGATAGTAACATAAGTTATGTCAGGAACACTTACAGACATGAAAAAAAAATCCCTCTATTTCATGCATTACCACAATGTAATTTAATGAAGGGCTACAACGGCAATAACAGAAATGAATCTGCTTTGAGAACACAACAACACCATTTTTATGCTCTCAGATCATGAAAACAGTTTTTTATACAATCAGAAAAACTAAATTGCTCAGCATTTGTAAAATAGGACATGGGCAGCAAACCAGTAAATACAGCTGTGCTAGTACTCCTGTATAAAACTGTATCTAACTGGAAAAGCGCTCAAGTGGAGATATAATGTCTGACAGCTAATGCATCATTGCCCCTCTGGTCAAAGTACTGTATTCTACAGTGAGACCCATGAAAGATACACATTGGCTTCATTTTCAACCTACACAGTCTAATGATTTGAAATATTGTGTGCTTTAACACAATGCATTTCAGTGAAAGGTGCAATTCATCTCAGGTCTTTTTGAGCAAGTTTAACACTTCCTGTGTTAATGCATGAAAACATATAAAGACATCTGGTAGTCCTTACATCCTGTTTAGTAATTCATGAAAAGCATCACTCATGAAGATAATAATAATAAATGAACCCACAGCTCTTAATGAACACTCATCAGCCATTCTACTGATAAACAAATCCATCAACCCTCTCGATCATATCTGTCATTAAAAATGAGATATTTCTAATGTGTATGTGGGGAAAGGCGTTCTAAATTGATGTGACAATAAATCTTGTTTGACAGAGTAGTTACAAACATTGACATTTGTTTTTTGTTTATTTCATCATATTTAAAATTCACACAATATTGGTTGTCACTGAGTATTTAATATACATTTTGAATTCCGATGGGTTCTGATGTTCCAACTCTGAACCTATGATTTAAAGACGTTCAAGAGAAAAGATGTCTTGTGAACATATTTAAGAAAGTCTGGTGTGGGATTGAACAGGCTGAAAATCATTGGATTCACTCTATAAAGCGAAAGTGAGACAGATAAAAGAAAGAAAAGACAGAGGGTGAAAGAAAACAACACAAAATTGAAAAGCTGCCACACCATATGGGAGGAGTGAGCAGCACTGTGAGTGACTATGTCACACTGAGTGAAATAAAGAGAGCGCTAAGAGACAGAATGACGTCATCAGTCAGACGTCGGCAATATTGCCTTCTTCACAACTCAGCTTGCATTTCCGATTGCTCTCAAGTCTTTGCCAGAGCACAAAATACAGTATGTGTTGTCTTGCAGAGCAGTGTGGTGATTACGCTGCAAACAAATAATCAGCTGTTCAAAACAAAAAACTAACAAACAAAAAATAATTTTATATTTATTAAAACATGGTTTCATTCAGTGGAAAGATCAAATTCTTGTCCACAACAGGTAGTCTGTAGCTGTACCCCCCAGCCTGGCTTGGTCATTAAGTCCAACAATACAAGTAGCAGTGTTTGTGGGTGGGAAGCCAGTGAGGGATAATGTATTTGTTGATTCAATAGCAGCTTCCTTTGGTTGGTTGGGTGCCTACTTGGAGATGGAACAGGGGAGATTAGCGTGAACCTGCTGCGTGTTACACTCTCACCGTGAAGCTCCTGGTAGCAAAGACTCTTCAGCAGTGGAGTTAACAGTGACAAGGACAGTGTGAGGAGAAAAAAAGAGGGGAAAAAGACATAGGACAAAGAGATTTGTAACTTACCATGTTTACTTCTGAGATGGAGTCGATGCTTGCTATGTTGATGCTCATTCCTACGATGACTGGAGGACCTGAAGGAACAAAGAAAAAACTGATGTCACTAAAAACGTACAAAAAAATTAACATGGAACTACTTCACTTCGAAAGGACTTCCATCTGCAATGTGAATTGACGGAGTAGTGATGATTTCTAACCTAGTTTTAATGCCACTTAAGTTCTTAAAGGCAGTGTAGGATTTAGTGGCATCTTGCCGTCTAATTGCAGATTACAACGTCCTCACCTCACTCTCCCATTCCAAACATGCAGGAGAAACTACACTGGCTGTGAAACCCATAAACTATGTGAAAGGACCTATCTAGAACCTGCGTTCTGGACTACTGTAGAAACATGGTGGTTCAATATGCCGGCCTCCGCAGAGGAGGACCCACTCCCTCTGTAGACAACAGCAGCTCATTCTAAGGTAAGGAAAACACAATTATTCTTATTTTCAGGTGACTATACAACTAAAGAAATATATCTATGAATATAATATTCAGTTTCAACTTAGAAAGATTACTCCGAAATGTTGCACACTAGAGCTTAAAAATGTTTAAACCCATACATCAATATTCCTAGTTAAGAGCATACCATATGCAGTTGCACGTGTTCAATGATATTGATGCAAAATTGTATTTTTAAGCAAACTACTGCTCAAATACATAGGCTACTCTATGTAGTGTGCAATACGCCAGTGACAAAGCAAATTTAAATCTGTTGTTGCTGCATATAGATTGTATATAAAACAGAAAGTATAGACCAGTTACTCTTAGAAGCTTATGAAACAACACTGAGAAAACGCACTCATCCATACTAATTTCCAAGCTTGCAATTCATGTAAAGGAACAGGAAGAGCAAGCTGTGCCTCATTTACATGATTACAATACATGCTGTAAACAGCTGTGCACATCAACTCTCTTACATGTACAGTAAACACATAACCCACTTCAATATTCACACTTCAGATTTACATGGATTATCCATTCACAGAGCCCATGTTACCCACAGTCACTGTAACCAACACCATGTGACTTCAGACATACTGTGTGGCTATGTTGTATATAATCACATGCATTGCCTTCATTTTAGGGACATTTTTGAAATGTTAAAAAAGCTAAATGCGTACTTCAAATCTTTGTGCTTACAATATATTTTAAATAATTGTCATTATAAATGACCTTTTACCATGTGCTACAGCAGGGTATTCCCTGAGCCACGAACTCATCTTTTAAGACACTAAACTCAGATTAATTAATTTTGCAATTGTCAGCTCTTTTCAGATTTTATTTCAAACAAACTTTGGAATATTCGCATCAAACTACAACCACATCTCTTTTGTAAACACAGACAGTGAATCTGAAGAAGCCACATGCAGAACTACAGAGAGGGCTGGAGACTAGAGTCTAAGTTTTTCTTTTCTTCTGTTCTTTACCTTTTCTAGCAAGTAGCGAAATAAAGAAAACTGGCACATTTCTATTACAATTTGACAGCAATTCTCAGTATTTTGCTGTTACAAAATTTGTTCTTTCTCTGTACATTTATAGCCCTAATGTTATAACCTTAACACCTAAACACCCTCCCCTTGTCCGTGTCCATGTCCTCTTTAAACCATCACATCAGTCAGCCTCACATTGCGACAGTGAGAATGATAAGGCCACAGAACATGAATTGCTGACACAGAAAACAGAAACAGTTCAGTGACTGGTTCATGTGGCAGTGCTGAATCAGTATATTCAGATAATGTTTCATGGTATTATAGTGGAAATGGCATTAGCATAAAGATCATAAACAACACAGAAAACAGATGTTCTGCATCACGTGTATCATTACTCTCAAGAGGTACAGAACCTATGACTTTCTATTTAAATGTTCAGTCTTTGTCGACCCCTTCTCTCTCTGCCACTCTGTTTGTCCACGTCCTTTCACTGACTCACTGCACAAATTAAGAACAAAACAGATGACGACGAGCAACGTACTGAGCAGTTTTCATACCACCATGCACAGAGGAAGTTGGTTGTTTGTTCTTCGTTGGATTTGTCCTTGCACATCTGTTCAGATCACTTGTTTTCAAACTTCCTTTGTAAGGCCTCATTCCCTACACAGTCCTATCCAGAACAATGGGACTGCCATGAACTAACACCATCTGTGAGCTATGGTCACTGGAAGTGCATGAAACTTATTTTTGAAGTTGCACTTAAGTATCAAGTCATCATTTCTTATTTTTTGGTAATAATGTGATATAATTTGCACGTTGTGTGTTAAAACACCAGGATAAGGTACAGACAGTTATGGGCCACTGTGACTCACAGAAGACGAGCTGATTCATTTCTATGTGCAGCTGATGGATATACTGCACAGGTTCACAAAATAGATTTTTTTTAAATCATGACTTGTGTGCGTAGTCTCTCTATGACCAGAACAGATTTACAACTTTCCCTTTCTTCAGGATTCTCTCAAAATACAACACTTTGAAATGCAAAAAGAATGTAAAACAGATCTTGACAGTTACTGCTGACAGTAGTAGTCATGGGGATGTTTATGGGTTGCAGACTTGCACAGTTCAGAGCCCATAAAGATTTTTGACAATGTATTAAAATTGCTAATATAACCCTCATCTGTCCAAATACTTTCAAGACCCTGAAATAAAGACTCTGGGTGTTTGAAAAGGCTATGTGACTATACTGGGATATGGCTAAAAATACAGTCCAATCTAAGCTGTCAGTCTGCACTTTACCCACTCTAACTATAGTGTTACAGTACAGATAACAGCACAGATTACTGAGCACAGAGCTAATTGTACATTATCTTGTATGAAATAACAGAGGAGTGAGCACATTTGACCAAAACCATTTTGTAATTCATTTAGTTTGATGACCAGTTAGCCTATCCAAACTCTTGCCTTGATTGGTGAAACTTCGTCAAGTATGCTTTAATCACACAAGTTTGCTCTAAAGAAATAAAGGAAAATTATCTGTGATTTTTTTTCACACGAGTGAGACCTTACCAAGTGCAGTGTCCACTTAGTTTATTAAATATTTTATAGTACATTGCATCTGAACATTTCAGTGTATCCCCACACTCTAAAGCAGATGCAAACCAGACCAAAGTGTAATGGGGTCCAAACACCCCACAAAGCCAAAGTCTGACTGACCTGGAGCGATCCTAAAGCCAAGACCATCACTGAATAGGGCTTAAACAGGGGATTTAATAAGTGTTTGTTTGCATGCATGAGCAGGCTTGGAAGCCCTCCTGCAGGGCACACTGCCAGGATCTGATCCATCTTCAGACCATAAGAACTGTTGAGTCTACGTCTAAACTATTACCAATGATTTATTTTGAGCCTCAATGATTAAGTGTCTCTTACCTTAAGCACTGTCCCTAACTACCCTACTACATGTCACACATTTCAATGCATGAATCCACCTTAATTATAGCTATTGTAATGTAACATGTAAATATATGCCAACTAAATGAACATACATGCATGTGCTAAACGCCACCTGGGTGTATAACATTGCTAAATGTCATTGGTGTTCTCCAGAAGTCTTGTTTAATTAGAAGTAAAAGTTTGTCCTTAAGTTCACTGATGAAAGCAATATCGGAACCAGCCACCATTTTCATTGGAATAATATGTGAAGAAGTTACAAAAAAAAGTGTAACGTCTCAGGGGATTGAAATTGAAATGAATAGATACATATTTCTGCACAAAGTAGAGGTGCCAGCTGATTTGAGTTGAGTAAATGGATGTTGGATGTTTTTGGATTAATTATTGGACCACTTTGTCAAAGCTTTGATAAACCATGGAATTGGGAAAATGCTATCCTAATTGGCCCTTTAGTTGTGGGCTCTGCTCCAAACAAAACTGTACTGTACTATCCTTACAGTTCTGAGGTATTAGGGTCAGGAATTACTCCTCCGAAGCCTGAAGGGAGACAGTCGTGACTGTACTCGTCTATGACATCACAGAGTTTAGAGACATTTCTAATGTAAAACTGTGTGTTTCTGTTTGAGTTCAGTACACAACGCACCATTGGAGTGGACATTCATGAGACAGTCAAAAGACAAACAACACAAACTAAACTATGATGGTATGAGACTTAATCGATAACCACTGTTAAGACGTACCCCGATTCATCGAGAGATCATTCCTTCCTGTGGGGCCCGTCCTGCAGATATTAGTAATTGGGATGTTTCTCTTCAAATGCTGGTACTAAAATATTAACCAGCAAACCACTTGGCCAAAAAGGCCCCATCTATCCTCTCTCTTACATTCTGTAATCTTATTTCTTTTCCCCCACTCCTCCCACTACACTAAATGCCCTGAAGCTTTGTCATATTCCCTGACCCATCTCTTTCTACAAAAAAGGGAAAAAGTAGGGCCATTTTCCATCGCACTTTGTGAAGGCAACCAGTAACAGTTTTCCCCAGAGATGTCAAAGTACATTCATTCGCTAGATGAAAACAGAAAGCACCATCTCTCTCTCTCTCTCTCTCTCTCTGCATATTTTGACCCTGCTTTAGTAAAACAGAGGCACTCACTTTGTCACCACAGCTTTCTCAAAATAAAACTGCTACCTGCACTCACACTTCACAAGTTAGAAGAACAACACCTTTAAAAAAAAAAAAAACCTTTACATCTTTAAATAAGCATTTCAACAAACATCTCAAACAGTCTAGAAAATGCTTGATTTTTTTTCTCCACAGAATTCTTTGAAATTGTTTTAAAATATGTCTAATAAATCATGGCATCAGTGCTAGAGTGCTAACTACGGCCTTTTTTTTAGGATTTCATTATACCACCGTCCTGAGGCAAACCATATTGTCTCTGAACAATTACCATATCGGTGTGTAAACAGTTTCTAATACTTTTCCAAGAATCCACTGAATGTTTTAAAATGCTCCTGTTTTCTGCTTCTTTTAGCCAATATCACTAGATTTTTAGATGATTTAGATGTGATACATTACAACCAATATGCACTGATCCCAAATGGTGAACCAGTTTTGCCTCTTGACTGAACTCAGTGAGGCTCACTAC